CACACATACACACGAGTGCACATATGCACTCATGCATGCACAGACACATATACACACAAGCACACACACAGGCACACATACACAAGCACACCCAGGCACACATACACAAGCACACGCACAGGCACACGCACACACGGTAGCTGATTTAGAAAGAAGGAAGCTCAGTGATTGCTGGGCTGCCTCTGTGCTAGACACTGAGTTACAGATGAGTAGGTCCTTGGGGCTGAAGAGATAGTTCAGTGGTTAAGAACTGAAGAGATAGTTCAGTGGTTAAGAACTATATGCAGTTCTTATAGAGGACCTGAATTCCTGTGCCTCCCAACAGCCAGTTCTAGGGGATGTGATACCTCTGGTCTGCATACTGTGCTCAAGAGTACACACCCACATAAATAGTTTAAAATAAATATTTTTAAAAACAAACAAACAAAAAACAGATCAAGAAGGTCCTCCACAGTGTTCACATTCAAATGACAGAATCTGTAAATTAGGTGAATGGCCATGGGGATTTAAAACTGCAGCTGGGCCAGGTGTGGTGGTGCATTTCTTTAATCCCAGCTATTCAGGAAGCAGAATGCAGGAGTGCTAGGCTGCAGTGTGCTATGCCGATTGGAGGTTTGCACTGTTTTACATCAATATGGTGACATCGTAGGAGTAGGGACCACCAGGTTACCAAAGAGTAGGAAGCCAGCCCAGGCTGGAAATGGAGCAGGTCAAACCCCAATGCCAGTAACAGGATCATACCTTAGAATAGCCACTGCACTCCAGCCAGGGCCTGGTGTGCCACAGGGGTTCTTAAAGATGGGCAGACAAGGGGGCAGCAGGTGGATGGCAGAACAACGCTGTATGAGAACTTGAGCTGATGCTGTACATCTTGAAGGAAAAGGCTGCTTTGGGGACCCTAAAGCAGGGTGGGGCATGAGACAGGGGATGGGGAACATTAATGTAGATAATATAAAAAACAAAACAAAACAAAAAGAAGCTGGGCATGGTGGTAGGCATGGTGATTCATGCTTGTAATATTAGTACTTGGGATATTGAGGCAGGAGGATCAGGAGCTCAAAGGTCAGCCTCGGCTAAATAGCAAGTTCAAGGCCAGTCTGACCTGCATAAGATCTGGTCTCAGTAAACGAAAGAAAAGAAAATAGTCCTCAGGAAAGCCTCCAAAGAGGAATTCTACATCTAGGTTTTAGCCCAGGAATATCTGTCTTCTATATGGCTTTTCCTCCCCCTTCTTCCTCTGTACATAAACATAAATAAATAAAGAAAAAAAATAGGATTTGAGGGTGCAAGGTCAGTAGATGCTGGCCCAGCATGCTGAGGCCCTGGTTCAAGAAAAGCCCATGATAGAGAGAGAGAGAGAGAGAGGGAGAGAGAGAGAGAGAGAGGAGCCCATGTTGACCTCTAATGTTGTGTGAACTACTAAGTGTGTTTTGTTTTGAGCCACTGTAAATGTGGACATTTCTTACAGCAGTCATAAAAAAAAAAAAAAAAAAAAAAAAAGGCTCAAGGGATAGAACCAACTCCTAGGTGGTATGGTCTTATAAAGTCTATCCCTCTAACTAGGGATCTTTTGCTCTGTGCCTCGCCCTATACGTGTAGTGAATGACTTTTCTAGGTTCATGATCTTGTGGGGATGTCAGACCTTCTGAGTAGCCCTACCTGAAACATGAAGTATAGGCATGTGAAAGTTAACTTGCTTTCATGTCAGTAACACTTATGTAACAGGTGTGTGTGTGTGTGTGTGTGTGTGTGTGTGTGTGTGTGTGAACAGATTAGTTTGCATTCCTCCTTCACTCACAACCACTAAGCATTTCCCAGCAGGCCACTGTATGTGCTCCTGTACATTAGCAAGGGAACACATGGCTATACCAAACTTCAAGGGATTCTGGGAAATGTAGTCTCCAACTGGTGTTTTCCTGATTATCCAAAATCAGGAGCTTGGGCCCAGCTACATGTGTTTCCACACACACACCCCATCTGCTCTTCTAGCCATTTGAACTTTTTTCGTCCCCACCTGCAGACACTCTTGTAGTGACCTCTAGTGACTTCTTAGAAGCTCAGCATAGCAGAGCATGCTGTCCCAAAGGGACTGTTCTCAACCCCTGGCTTAGTCTTCACCAGCTCCACCTGTAAATATTCTGACCTGCCTTCATGGTGACGTATGAGTTTGTGTCCCTAGTCCCTGTTTTCAGGTGTGATAGAATTTGAACTCTGAAGTCCCAGCTTGTGTGAGATCATGGTCTCTGTGAGCCAATACCTTGCATAGATGCCTAGCAAAGCTGACTGTTGTTTTAATCTATGTTGTTCTAAGTACAGGAGTCAGATATTGGGGTGTAAATCTACCAGATCAGAGAAGCTCTATCCATCTTCCCAGATCCTCCATACTCTCTATGGTTAATTCTTGTCAACTAGTTGTTGGCACCACCCCTTGATCCAAGGTTAATTTTATTAACACACTCTTGAGGTTTCACAGTGTGATCAAATATCCCACAACAGATGACCTTGCAGGATTATTGTAAGGGTCAAATGAGACCATCTTTTAAAAAGATCTTTTTTTTAATCTGGAAATTCACAGGTGAGGGCTGATTCCATTCCTACCTGACTGATTTGTTAGAAGTGCAGAGGGAATCATGGATATATGTCCTTTGTAACACGATTGAGAGAATATGAATACAGGGGTGGCATGTGTTTTTGTTTTTAATCTATTTATTGTATGTGTACAGGTGTTTTGCCTCCATGTATGTCTGTACATTATGTGCTGCACTGCCCCTCCAAGGCCAGAAGGGGGAGTAGGGATCCCATGGAACTGGAGTTATGAACCATTGTGAGCCACCTTGTAGGTGCTGGGACTGGAACCCAGGTTCTCTGCAAGAGGAACAAATGCTCTTTTTTATTGTTGTTGTTGTTACTTTGTTTGTTTGAGACAGGGCCTTACTCTCTAGCTCTGGCTGGCTTAGAACTCCCTACACAAACTAGGCCAGCCTCAGACTCAAAGATCCCCTGGCCTCTGCCTCCCATCTGCTGGGTGCCTCCATTCCCAGATGTAACAACTGCTAACCCATCTCCCCAACTCCTGTTTTTTTATCTATCTTTACATAAATAAAGGCTAAAAAAAAAAAAGAGAGAGAGAGAGATAAGAAGGCCAAAGGGATAAAGCAGGGCTAACCTCAGGTTGAGGTTAGCCTGCCTGAACTACTTAACAAATGAATAAATAAACAAACAGAGTCTGGGGAGATGACTCTGAGGGTAAAACACCTGAGGACAAGCCTGAAGACCTGAGTTCAATCCCCAGGATCCACATGATGGAAAAGTGAATCCATTCCTGAACGCTGTTCTCTGACCTCTACTCACACGAACCCACATACATTGACATAAGCAATAAATGTTAAAAATCAGACATTGAAAAACTGCTGGGTAGGTGGCACACACTTGAATCCAGCATTCAGGAGACAAAGGCTGGCAGATCTCTGTGAGTTGCAGGCCAACCTGTTCTACATAGCAAGTTCCAGACTGGCCAGGGCTATAAGTGAGACCCTGTCTGTAAGAAACAAAATAAAACAAAAACCCAACACTAACATAAATATCACACTTTAAAGGGTGTTTTGTTGTTATTCCTGATTTTGAGAGTCTTATTGTTTCATCGTCTGACACTAAACACCTAACCTCGAACAGTACTCCTGCCCTTAGTCTCCCAGAAAGTGAGAACTATGGGCATTTACCACTATGCCCAGCTCAAAAAGGTTCCGTGTCTGTTCACAGGCATACATGTGGAGTGGGAGGTCAGAAGACAGCCTTGCCTGCTGATCCTTGCCTTCTGTCTTGTTCCAGACGGGTGTCTCTGCTTTCACTGCCGGGATAGCGAGTCTGCAATCCTGCAGTTCTCCGTCTCCTCCACCCCCTGGCATAGAGGATCATTAGGATTACAGATTCAAATGGGTTTCTGTGGATTCTAGGGATCTGAGTTCAGGCTGGCAGGTTTATGGGGCAAGTGCTTTATACACTGAGCCATCTCTTCAGCCTCTAAAAGACTCTAGTATCATCAGAAGATGATCAATACTCAAATCTCCCTAATGCATATTTTTTCTTTTCTTTATTTTTTTTCCTTTTGCTTATTTGAGAAAATGTACCTCTGTGTACTGCTTTCTTCTTTTTCTTTCTTTCTTTCTTTCTTTCTTTCTTTTTTTTTTTTTCTAAATTGTATTTCTGGAGCTGGTGAGATGGCTTGGTGGGTAAAGACACTTGCTGCCAAGCCTGATGGCCAGAATGTAGTCCTTGGGATCCAAATGATGGAGGGAGAAAGCTGATTCCATAAGTTGTTGTTTGCCCTCCATAAGTGCTGTGCTCTTGAAGGCTAAGCAAACCAACACACAAACATGTTTTTTAAAAAAGATTATTTATTATGTATACAGTGTTCTATCCATAGGCCAGTAGAGGGCACCAGATATCATTACAGATAGTTGTAAACCACCATATGGTTACTGAAATTGAACTCAGGACCTCTGGAAGAGCAGCCAGTGCTCTTAACCTCTGAGCCATCTCTCCAGTCCCCAAACAAATATGTTTTAAAAATAAAAATGTTTCTGGGGATGGTGGCACATGCCTTTAGTACTTGTACTCAGAAGGCAGAGGAAGGTAAATCTCTGTGAGTTCAAGGCCAGCCTAGTCTCTATAGCAAATTCCAGGCCAGCCAGAGCTACATAGATAGACATTGACTAAAAAAAAACCAAAATGCTAATAACTTCAAATGTTGTGTGTTTCCCTCCCTTTCCTTATTCATTTGCCAAGTTTAGACAGGGGTTCTCTGTGGTTTTAGAGTCTGTCCTAGAACTAGCTCTTTGTAGACCAGGCTGTTCTTGAACTCACAGAGATCTGCCTGCCTCTGCCTCCCGAGTGCTGGGATTAAAGGCGTGTGCCACCACTGCCCGGCTCATTTGCCAAGTTCTTTATACATGAAGGATGTTAACTAAAATGAGGTTAATAACTTGCTGGTCTTCCTCTAGGGAAAGTGATGGAGCCTTCAGGATCTTCCCAGTCTCAAGCCGCCAGTGGAATTCACAGAGAAACAGAAAATCTAGACTGTAAGTTTGCCTTCTCAGACCCTCTACACACAGCCTCTGGGGGCATGGGTGCAGCATGGACTGGAGCATCAAAGACACCTGCTCAGGTCATGTGGCATGATGGTCACATCAAAGAAGTGATTTTCCAGTCACAGGCCTGTCCCAGCCCTTTCCCCACACTTCCTGGCTGAGCAGGTCCTCAGCTGCTCCCCAGATTTTGAGAAGTTTCTGGGCAGCTTGTTTTGGAAGTGGGAGCATCTCTAGAAGGCTGGAGGGTTTTCATGTGTCTGCCCTTGGAGAAAGGGAAGGTTTGGGGCTTGACCACAGGCTGCCCTCTGTGTGACTTAGAGAACCCTGAACCAGTACTGAGTCTGGAGATCTCCAGGTGCAGTAGCAGAGACCAAGGGGGAAGGGAGCTTAGGACCCTATTTTCTAGGGTCTCTATGCAGAAGAATGTTTGCTTTGGGCTGTCTTTGACACCCTACCCAGGGGTCTCTGAGAATCTTGATCTTGAACACCTTCCACTGGCCTTGGATATTTAGGGGAGTAGTTCCCCCATTGGCTTGCTGAGTGCTCCATGGAGAGGCTGCACTGTTACCAGGGATGGGGCAGGGAATAGAATAGCTCACCACCTTGCCTGTGTGCCTCCAGACCAAGAGACAGAGTTCCACAAGCAAGATGGGAAGGCTCGGGAACGATGTGAGAGAGACAAGTCTTCCTCTTCCTCCTCATCCTCCTCTTCCTCTTCCTCCTCATCATCTTCCTCCTCCTCCTCAGGTATAGCAAACATTCTTAGGAATGGGCTGTGGCTTGATGGTACAGTGTTTACCTCATATGTACAGAGCCCTGGGTTCTATCACCAGCAAACACACACACACACACACACACACACAGAGAGAGAGAGAGAGAAAGAGAGAGAGAGAGAGAGAGTAATAGAAATACATTTAGAAAACATACAGGGCTGAATTTATAACAACATTGGAGCTATCATTTATTGAGTGCTTACCTTCAGTACTCTTCCAAGTACTTTACACAAAAGAACTCAACCAATTGTCCCAGGACCCCATTAAGGAAGATATAACAAACACTATTGGAAGACTCCTTTTACAGGTGAAGCACAGGGAGACTATGTAACCCGCTTTAAGAAAGCTCAGTAACAAACTTGAAAGTCCTTGAAGGTCTTTCTGAGACCGGGGAATGCATGGGAGTGGATTCTCTACCTGTTCAATTGGAGCTTCAGCTCTCTGATCTATTTTATATGGTAGACCTGAGCTTACAATTCTTAGGCTTGGGCTGAGGGTATAGCTCTGCATGGTTGGGTACTTGCTTAGCACAAAGCGCTGGGTTCCATCCCCAGCATAACACAAACCTGGTATGCCGATACTCATTTATAATCCTACCATTCAGGGAGTGGAGGCAGGAGCATCAGAAGTGCACCATCATCCTTAGCTAGCCTGGGCTACATGATTGAGTAACCACTAAATAAAGCCAAGGTTGGTGATATACACTTGAATTCCCAGCTCTTGAGAGGTAAAGGCAGAAAGATGGGCAGGCCATCCCAGACTAGCCTGGGTCACACAGAGAAACTGCTCCAAGAAAACAGAAAATAAACCTAAATTTATATAATGAAGAAATCATAGGCAAAGCTAAAATAACTGTCAATCACGTGTTGATGGACGTTGTCCCTGGCTGATAGAATCTGGAGTAAGTTTTATTTCATTTATATTTTTCATATTGTTTGATATTTTGCAATGAAGATTCGTTTTTCCTTTCTCATTGATATATATACACACACACACGTGTGTGTGTGTGTAAATATATATGTTTTTCGAGACAGAATTTCTCTGTGTACCTTTGTAGATCAGGCTGGCCTCAAACTCACAGAGATCTGCCTGCCTCTGCCTCCCAACTGCCAGGATTAAAGGCGTGCGCCACCACCGCCTGCCTTCTCACTGATATATCTTTGTAAAATTTAGAAAAGAAGGAAATAGTTAGGCATGGTGGCACATACCTGTGATCCCAACACTCAGGAGTCAGAGGCAGGAAGATTACCACACATCTGAGGCCATTCTACTCTATATAGTGAGTTCCAGACCATCAAGAACTATATAATGAGACTCTGTTTGAAAGGGAAAGGGGTAGGAATAAAGTCACTCAATGTTTTACTCATTAAGATAAACACACAGGGGCTGGAGAGATGGCTCGGAGGTTAAGAACACTGGCTAGTCTTCCAGAGGTCATGAGTTCAATTTCTAGCAACTACATGGTGATTCACAACCATCTATAATGAGATCTGGTGCCCTCTTCTGGTGTGCAGGCAAACATGCAGGTAGAACACTGCATACATAATAAATAAATAAAAATCTTAAAAAAAAAAAAAAAAGGTAAACACACATCTGTTATTTTGATTTGCAATCAGTCCTTCATATCTATGGACTCTGCATGCTTGGATACAACTAACCAAAAGGTGAAAAACATACAAATAAACTGTGTCTATATTGAACACAGATGGCTATTTTATTGTCTTATTACATACAACACCAAGTATGAATTACATAGCATTTACACTGTAGTGAGTATTACAAGTAATCCAGAGGTGGTTTAAATAATGAAGAGGGGTCTGCAAGATGGTTCAACAGGTGAAGGTGCTTGCTGCCAAGCTAACCACCTGGGACCCACCTGACCCACAAGGTAAAAGGAGAAAAACAACTCTTGAAAGTTGTACTCTGAACTTCCATACATGGGCTGTGGCATGTGCTTCCCTGACCACACAAACATACATGTTTTTTAAATTAAGGAAAGCAACACGACAGAACACATAGTTTCTATGCAAATACTAAAAAGTCCTGTGTAAGGAACTGGTGTGTCTGTGGCTTTGATGTGTGTGTGGCAAGTCTTAGAACCTTCTTGCATGGCTACCAAGGGACAACTATATCGCCACCCAGCTCTTGCACTGTGTCAGATAAAAATACATGAATACTGACCTGGGAACACAACTGACTTGCTTCCTGGATTTTAATGACTCCATGATTGATCAGGAAGTCACTAAGCACACGTAGGGAACTCATCTGGGGCCATTTTGATGGTCTTGGGAGAAAGTCCTGTAGCCAGGAACTCCTGGCTCTGAATTCTTAGACCACTGTCGAGTCTAAGATGTATATAATTCAGCCATGCTTCATATCCCTTCAGCCTCCTGCTCCAGGCTAGGCAGCCTGAGACAATGAAGATACAGGCTGTGGCCTTCGGGAGCTCAGGTGCTTGGAGAAACAGACATCGTCTATCCCTCATGATGACTGGCTCAGGCATAAGACAGTGCCATAGAAACCCCAGGTAGGGAGGGTAAGGCCAGTGAGTGTCTGAACAACATGAATAGGGTTCCTATAGGACATGTGGCATCCGCTCAGCTTCACAATCAGGGAGGCAAGTGGGAAAGGGTGCCAGGCCAGCAGACAACTTGAGTCCTGTGACATCATGAGGTCAGAGATGATACAGCACTGTGTTTGGTGGACTCTCCATAACATGGCATGTCATGGAACTTGGTTGCCTCTTCAGGAAAGCCTCCTTGGGCAGCAGCAAAAGCAGGGATCAGCCACAAAATACGAACAGGAGAGTGACACAGAAAGTTAGGGGCCACTAAGTTTCTTACTCCACGAAGTAGGTCACTGAGACTGTCCTTCCAGCCTGAGGCCCTACAGCTTGTGTTTGCTCCTCACAGACAGCGGCGATGAGGACCAGCACTCCAGAGGTCCCAGGGAACACGGAAGGAAGCCCCGCAGGGACAGCTCTCCTGGTAGGCGGCAGGCTCCCCACCATCCCTTTGCTAGTGGGGCCACGGAAGAGGTTAATCACAGCATGCTGTTTGTAACCATCTGAATGGGAAATAGCCCACAACACACTCTGCGGGCCTCTGTCTTGGTGACAGTCATGGTTGTCGTTTTGTATGATTTAAGGCAGGGTTTCACTGTGTGGTCTGTCCTAGAACTCCCTCTGTAGACCAGGCTGACCTCAAACTCACATAGCTCCTCTGCCTCCTCCTGAGTGCTGGGGAAAGCATGTGCCATCACACCCAGCTTTGTTTGTTTTTGATGAGCACTTTCCTAACTCTGGCATGGTGGGTGGCAAGTTACAGAACTCACTTGACCTCAAATGTATTTGTTTAAAAAAAAAAAATCTTACACAAAACAGGAAGGAGGGGGCTGAGTTGGCTCAGCAAGCCAAAGGCACCTAACTCCAAGCTTGATGACCTGAGCTGCATGCCTGGGACCCACATAGGAGGAAACTGACTTCCAAAATGTTGTCCTCTGACCAACACATGGGCTCCGTGGCATGAGCACCACGCCCCCATGCAAGTAAATAATTATTAAAAAGAATAGTTTACAAAACAGGAAAACATAAATATATTAATAGTAATTGTGATGGTAAAGTTGTGAGGCGTATTTATTATGTATTTTATTTTTGCAGTGCTGGGATGTATTTATTTTTGCTGTGCTGGGATGGTACCCAGGGTTTGTGCAAGGGTTCTTCCACTGAACTACATTGAGCTACAACCTCACATCCCCCTTTTGAAAAATGTATTGCTTATGTGTATGAGTGTTTTGCCTGCACATATACATATGCATGCATAGTGCCCAGGGAAATCAGAAGAGAGTGTCTGATCCCCTGGAACTTGAGTCACAGATTGTTCTGGGCCAACTGGTGGTTGGGGACTGGGAGCTGAACCTGGGTCCTCTGCAAGAGCAGCCAGTGCTCTTAACCTCTTAACCTCTTAACCTGAGCCACCTTTCTAGTCCTAGGAAATCACTTTTGCCAAAATAAATGAACTTTGTGAAAAGAAAAGAGCATCAGGGAAAGAATGAGAATTAATGAATGAATGTCTATTATAGAGCCTGGTATACACAAAGTGCTTGATAAATGCTACTTAGGATGCTGGAGTTGAGCCTAAGTTCTATGTCTAGAGCTACAACTAGCTGGGGATCTAGGTATGGAGATCAATGTGAAGTCTGTGCTTAGCATACAGAAGACCTATGTCCAATCTCCAACGCCAGTAATGATGATGATGGTGAGGACGATGATAAATAAACAAAACAATAACAAATAAAAGATAAAAACCCAAACCAGGAATTCAGGTTTTATGGAAGACCTGTGGAGTCACTCCTTACTGTGTATGTCTGGTAGAATCGTTTTACCTTTTGTTTTCCTCTCCATCACCCCACATCCCTGTGCTGGGATCAGATCGGTGTCTCACACATGCTAGGAGAGTGCTCACCCACTAAACTCTTCCCTGAGCTGTAACTGAATCTTTGCACCTCAGGCGCCTTGTCTGCAGAATGTATAGGCATGCACTGGTGCCTTCTCCATGCTCTTTCGATGAGAACCAAAGAAAACATTCAATATAAATAACTTAGTATACCATTGGTACACCTTAGAGCTTAGTAAAGGATAAGTATTCATAGTATATAAAAATTTACAGGTTAACTTATTTATGTGGAATGTTTTGCCTGCCTATATGTATATGTATGTACCATGCACATGTGTATGCCCACAGAGGCCAGAAGAGGGTTCAGATGTCCTGAAACTAGAATTGCAGGCAATTTTGAGCTGCCATGTGGGTTCTGGGAACTAAACCCAGGCCCTCTGCAAGAGTGGCCAGTGCTCCTAACCTCTGAGCTGTCTCTCCCACTGCAGTAAATATTCTTGACTGAGCCTTGGGCCCAGCCAGACTTGCAGTTTCATATCAGTAACAGAACATAGTTGCCTCTAGGGGCACTGAGGGTAAGTAAGTACCTGTGACTCTGTTTACCTTTTGGGACCTGATGTGGCGATGTGGAGGTGGCCCTGGGACACTGGGGAGAAGTTGACCAAGGTTTGTCTCCACCCAGGTGCTGACCACGGGGAACTGGAGGTGCCGAAAGACGGGCTTCAGCTCTATGGAGGTAACTGCTGGCCTGGCTTTGAAGAAGAGAGTCATGAGGGCTGAGGGACCAGTGGGCAGAACAAGGGTGAAGTCTCATGATCAGAAGACTCCCAGGCAGACAGATGAGGTAGTGAGCCGCAGCAATCCGGGGGGACTGCGGTGCCCTCTACCGTGATTACAGTGGTTCTCAAGGACTGGAGCCCCTGCTTTCAGCACGGTTGACTGGTCACTCAACAGATCTGGGCCACAGTTTTGCCACAGCAAAATGGGTGTGATCCACTTCACTCTCTTGGAGTTCTGCACTGTTTGAGAATGGCTCAGATCCCCCGTCCCCATTTATGAACTGTTTCCAAGAGCCCTGTACAATGGTGAGGAGGTGTAGGAGCCACGGAGATGAAGTGTAAATAACAGGGCACTTTGGTCAGTAGACTACAATGAAGTAGGGAAATCTACAGATTGATTTAGTTCATCAAAGAGCCTGGCAGATGCGCACTACCCAGTGAGTCAGGATCCCCAATATCCACCTGGTCCCCCAGCTCCTAGTAATGACCTAGAGAAACAGCAAGAAACACGGGTCCGTTACACTCAGAGTGAGACGGTCCACATAGCACATATTGGACTATAACACAGAGCTGCCTTTGAGGACTGTCATTGTGGGGGAGCTTTATATTGTCTTATTTGCTTAGTTGAATTTATTTATTCATTTATTTTAGCACTAGAGACTGAATTCAAGGATGGCTTTGTAAAGATTTTTATTTTATTTTGTTTTAAAGATTTGTTTACTTTTTATTTTTAATTTCATTTGTTTATTTTATGAGTGTTTTGCTTACATGTATGTCTTGTACTATGTGCATGCCCATGACAGCTAAAAGAGGGAGTTGGATCTCTTAGAATTAGAATTACAAACATATTTGACCTGCCATGAAAGTGGGGACCAAACCCAGGTCCTCTGAGAGAGGAGCTATTTCTCCTGTACCATATGTATGTGCCTAAGTGTGGGTTTATGAATATGAGTGCAATGCCAGAAGAAGCCAAAAGAGGGCACCAGATTCCCCTGAGGCTGGTACTACAGGAAGTTGTGAGCATCTAGAACTCTTAACCACCCTGCCATCTCTCCAGTCCCTATTTTATTTTATTATACATGGCTTGAGATGGGGGGGGGTGACTGTCAATTAGGTGGAGCAGGAATCCTTCAGCCTTCTCTGGTCCCCACCCAGTCTACACCAGATCAGTGTAAGTTTCCAAGCAGGCCCTACCTTCCTTCATAGTACCCCTTCTTGGGAGAGCACCATCGTGTGTGTGTGTGTGTGTGTGTGTGTGTGTGTGTGTGTGTGTGTGTGTGTTCACTGATTCTCCTTCCATGCAGGTGATGCTGGGGAAATGGTGCTTGCTGGGGAGTCAGGTGAGTGAGTACCCAGGAAGGGGAGGGAGTCACGGATACTGGCATTGGGTGAAGTCTGAGCACTGTCCCTATGAGGCACTCTCAGGGCCATGGCTGTGAGACATGGGAACTCCAGGGCCTTAGACACCTGACTGCATGCAACAGGCAGGATACCAGTTGTGGGACATTGGAATGGGGGTCCAGGCACGAGGAAGCAGACATCAGCCAGCTAGGAAAGGTCCCTTGGATTCCATGGCTGAAGAATTATTAAGAGCCTTATCTTAGTCACCTCTGGGTGACTAGTTACAGGGCTGAAAGCCCTTGGCAAGGAGCCTGGGCACTAACATTGAGTTTCTCATTTCTAGGACTCCGAAGGAGAGGTTCCGGCTCTACCGGGGGTAAATATATAAGCTCCCAGGACAGCAAGAGGCTGTGTGGATTCCAGAGGGGACAGAAAGGAGCAAAATGGCCTGAGAGGGTGGGCCAGTTCTAGCAGGGATGTCAACATCCGCAGGACTCAGAAAGAGGTCCCCATCAGAGGGGGAATGGAAGGAAGATCAGGGCTAGGCCTAAAGAGGGTGAGGAAGTCAGCGAGGGGCCTGGGGACAGCCACCCTACCTTCAGGGTCCTGCCTGGTGTTCCTGCTGTGAACACCATCTGACCCAGAGATACGCAGCACTCAAGTCTCTAAGGCCAGAGCAGCAATCTACAGCACACATCTTTCTCTCTTTCATTCTGAAGGAGAAGTGGAGGCCTCTCAGTTAAGAAGGCTGAACATAAAGAAGGATGGTAAGTAAGTTGGTGTTCAGGAGCCATATTCACCTGGCCAGTGCAGATTTCTGTGTGTGTGTGATGGCTGCCAGCTAGAACCACAGTAACCCTAGTCACCTCTGTCAGGTACCCGACAGTTAGCAAAGCCTTGGCTCTAATCACTGGGGGTGTGGGGGCGGGGTACATGCCGTGATGCCTATCTCTTCATGTAGAAACCGGGGACCATGGTTGGTGGCAGCCTTACAGCTACTGAAGGGAATAACCTGGGCATGCTATGCATGCAAACGCAGGGAAATAAAAGTGTCACACTCTGTGATGGGACATAATTAGGCTGTGGGAATGATTCACTGAAGAAGTGATGAGAGCTCCAGGCCTTCCTCTGCTCCAAGCCTGGAATCTATGAAGGCTTCCTGGAGGACCATGAGGGTGGGAAAGGGAGACTTGGGCTTTTTATTTGTTTATAAGATCAAAAAACAATTTACATGAGTGCATGTGCCCAAGGAGGCCAGAAGAGGGTGTCAGAGCCCCTGGAGCTAGAGTTACAGGTGGCTGGCTGTACACTGGTAGAGATGGGCGGTGTGAATAGAACTTGGATTTCTGCAATAGCACTACTCACTGATGAACCATCTCTCCAGACCCTCACCATGTTTTTTGATTAAACAAATGGTAGCTGTTCTAGAAAAATCTGAGTTACTTCAAAAGGTCCCATACACTCCTGTTTTTTAGGGAAGGAGAGCCCCGGGCTTAAGCCCTTTATTAATCTTGGTCCCTGACAGCAGAGCTCGCTGTTTGGCTGGGATGGGGCTGGGCATAAAAAGTCTCATTGGACTGAAACACAGTCTCAAAATACAGACCATGTCCACCTTGTTTCAGGACATGTAGGGCACATTATGCTCCAAAGGAAGAAGGCAATTCCCTTCTGTCTGGAAGCACTAGCCTTTGACTTAGCCTTGGCCTTATGTATCGCCCTTGAGAAAGACCCTTCCCAGACAGCAGGGTTTGCTTGCTGGCTTTTGTTTTGATTGCTGTGTGGGAGGCAGTGTTCTGTTCTGACTTGTCTTGATCATTCTTCCTGGGTAACCCAGACTGACTTCAAACTTGGGGTTTGGCCTCAGCTTCCTTAGTACTGGGTTCACAGGCGTGCACCACCACTTCTGACTTCCCCTAAACTCTCTTACATATTCCCCTTTATGAGGAAGCAGGGACCGCTATTGACCCTGGTGACATACCTACCCTCAGTGCCTAGCACCCAAGGTCCAGCCTCTCTCATGCCTGTTAGCCTCACAACTTTACACTCACAGTTGCAGGTCTCACAGTTGTGGGGTTTTTTGGTTTGTTTGTTTGTTTTGTTTTTAATGCTCACTCAACAAATGAATCCTAAGCACACCATATAGCTGCTGTAGCTGCTGAATTTCTTTCTTTCTTTTTTTTTTAATATTTTTAAATATTGTATGCATTTTATTTCATGTGTATTGGTGTTTTGCCTGCATGTATGCCCGTGTGAAGGTATCAGGTCCCCTGGAACTTGAGTTACAGACAGCTATGAGCTACCATGTGAGTGCTGGGAATTGAACCCGGGATTCTCTGGAAAAGCAGTCAGTGCTGAGCCATCTCTCCAGCCCCTGCTGAATTTCTTTAGACAGGAGGTTCACTGGGATCCTTCTCCAAGACCTAGAGCCCAGGGAGGAGGGAACCAATAAAAACAGAAACCCAAGCTGCAAGGCTGTACATGTTCCAAAAATAATGAAGCAAGACGGGGCTGAAAAGGAGGCTCCTGGGGTGCTCTTTAACACTGGCTGGTCAGGAGCAGGAGCACTGTCATTTATAAAACAAGAAGAGGCTGGGTCAATGGTTCAGCATTTCCCCTGTGTCAGAGGACTGGAGTTTGGATCCCAGCACCTACATCGGGTCCCCCACTAATGCCTGTAACTCCAGCTCCAAGGGATCTGATGCCCCCTTCTGACCTCTGTGGGTACTTGATCCACACTCAAGTAGGATCATGCACTCACCTACACACAAATACAATAAAAAATAGAACAGTTGAGCATGGTGGTACACACCTTTAATCCCAGCACTAGGCTGGCAGAGGCAGTCGGATTTCTGTGAGTTCAAGGCCAGCCAGGGCGACATTGTGAAACACTATCTCAAATAAATAAATAAATAAATAAATAAATAAATAAATAACTGCACATACCTTGGCACATACCTTTAATCCCAGTACTTTGGAAGCAGGGGATCTTTGTGACTTCAAGGCCAGCTTGGTCTACACAGTTTCAAGTCATCCAAGGTTACAGGGTAAAACAAGCACACACATACAAATAAAAACAAGACACAGGCACGGTGTCGTGGCACGCGCCTGGACCCTTTATTCTGAAGGCAGAAGCAGAAGATTCCCAACTTGAAGGTAACCCTGGGCTGCATAGAGACCCTATCTCAGAAAACAAAGTAAAAAATAAAAATGAGGGGGTTGTGGTAATGGCCTTAATTGAGAGAGAGAGAGAGAGAGAGAGAGAGAGAGAGAGAGAGAGAGAGAGAGAGAGAGAGAGGAGAGCAGCCTCCACCCTTTCTTGCAGATGAGTTTTTCCATTTCGTCCTCCTGTGCTTTGCCATTGGAGCCTTGCTGGTGTGTTATCACTACTATGCAGGTGAGGCTCCCTGGGGACTGGAAGGGGCTGCATGGGAGGACAGGGCATCAACCTACAACCCAAATGCTTACTGTTCTTTCCTTGCTGCTCTTTAAGATTGGTTCATGTCTCTCGGGGTTGGCCTGCTCACCTTTGCCTCCCTGGAGACCATTGGCATCTACTTTGGGTTGGGTAAGTGATCCTGTCAAAAAGCTACACAGACCGGAAGGCTTCTGGGGGATGGAGTGGTAGCTGGCCACATACTTTCCAAGAGTCACGTTCTAAACATTTTTTTTAAAAAATAAATTCCTTATGTTTGTGTTTTCTTCCTGCCTGCATGTGAGGTCAGTGAGAGGTCCTTGGCAGAACCTTGTGGAAAAAGGGGGCTGTCCCACAAAAACAGTTTAAAGTAGCAAATACAAAAACAGTTTAAAGTAGCAAATACACGTAGCTCCTCAGATACTGAAAACAAGGCAGTGGAGCCAGGCAGGCATCGAGGCCGCTGGGTTTCCTGTCCCTGTTATTACTGCCTGTGACTCTTTTCCGTGTAATAACCGCAGCACTGTTATTGATGTTAGCCTAAAATTGCATGTTAGGCTTTGTTTGCATGGGGTGTGCCTTGGTCCTTGAGGCAGCAGGGAGTGATCCTGACCCCTGGGGCAGCAGGGAATGAGGCCAACCCTGGGGCCCTTGAGGGGCCACCATCCTGACCAACATTTCCCCTTGCTTCTGAGCAGTGTACCGGATCCACAGTGTACTTCAGGGCTTCATCCCCCTCCTTCAGAAGCTCAGGCTGCCAGGTAACATGCTACACATTTCCTCATCCAAACTCTCCTGGTTGGGGCTTTCATCCTGAAAAGAGATCTGCCATCTAGGGAAAGCCCCAGAGGCAAGAGGCTCAGGTTCCAGCTCTGCCTCCGTTCTGTGACCCCCCCCCCCCACAGCCTTTTTCTGTGTTGGCAATGGAGTCCAATACCTGCAGCATGCTAGATGAGTGCAATCCAGCTGCCCGTAGCCTTTTTTGAACTTTAGGTTTCTCAGCTGGAAAATTGGTATAATTCCTACTGTGTGGGGCAGCCCATCAGGTAAAGAAGGATGCAGAGGGCTGCAAGCAGACAGGTGAAGCAGGGGACCTGCACTCTCCAAACGCTGCTTGCTCCCTAGCTGTATTAAGTAACTTTGTAGCTGCCTTTAAAATAGCCTGGGCTAAAGTAGAGACTCTCTGAGTGAGTGTGTGTGGGGGGGCGGGAGAGGGGGAGGTTTGGCTAGAATGAGACCCAAGGCTTCACACAGGCTAAGAAATTGCTCTACTGCAGAGCGGCACTCCTACCCACTGTCTTTAACCAGCAGCCCAGCAGCTTTGTATTTGGTGGTATTGTGCCTCAGAGTCTGGAAGCCAGGCATGGGTGGTGTGTCTCTGCGCTGTGGGTGGGGGTAGTCCACAACTATAGACCACAGGGACCCACAGAACTTTCAGGAAGGGCCTCTTGCTACCCGCCCTGTGTTGTTTGGTCATGTGAGGTGGGGGTGGGGGCAGGACTTGACTGCCTGCCAAATCCTGTATCATCCTGCTGGCTTTGCCTTGCAGGGTTCAGGAGAACTGACTGAGAACACTGCCTGATGGCTTCTGAGCCAGTCCCCAATGTGACCACTGTAACCACTGCCACACCTGAGCCCAGAAGACAGATGACACGCTAGAAGACACCAGGAGGCCCTGCCTGGGCAATGAAGAGCTCTTTCCTTCCATGAAGTCTCAGTGTTGACACCAGTGGGCAGGTTCTCACTCTGCAGATTAACACAATAGTCTCCATGGGGACGAGAGAAGGGATGGCATCTAAGTCATCAAGAAGGACCCTGGGACACCATTGCTCTCAGGGGCAACATGAGTCCTAGGCCCCACAGCCTGGCATCTGTGGGCTCATGGTCCTCAGACCATGGCCATGAGTTCACAGTTCCTGCAGAGCCATCCTGGGACAAATGGTCTACTGCCCTGAGGCAGGGTGCTACCAGGTTGGGTCCCTGGGGGAACCTGTTCCAGGTAAGATGCCTGGGACTAAAGCTATGCTACCATCACCCAGTGACCACCCTGCTGCCCTCGGACTCCTTCAAAATCCAAATAAATATTCTCTTCTCTATGCTAAAAAGTGTAGGCTAAATATTCCTTAAGTTTCTTTTTTGTTTTTATTTTTTTTTATGTGGGCTTTCATGTTGCTCATGCTGGCTCAAACTCTCAATGTAGCTGTGGCAGTTGGAACGTAATTGGCCCCAAAAGTCATTAGGAGTGGCACCATTAGGAGGTGTGGCCTTTGAGTCAAGATGTAGGACTCTCATCCCCTTCTCCAGCACCATGTCTGCCTACATGCCACCATGTCACACCATGATGATGATGGACTAAACCTCTGAAAGTATAAGCTACCTCAATTAAATGTTTTTCCTTTATAAGAGTTGCCATGGTCATGGTGTGCTAAGTAAGACAGTAGCCAAGGCTAACGTTGAATTCCTGCTCCTCCTGCCTTCACCTCCTGAGAGCTGGGATCTTAGGTGTATTCCTCTGTACCCAGTGTAATGTGGTGGTAGGACTTGAACCCCATGCTTTGTGCTGGTAGGTGAGCACCAGCTGAGATATATGGCTGGTCGTCCTTAGGGTCTCTTGAGTATGAGAAAACATTTGGGAACTCCTTTGGACCCATCTAGATGAATGAGCACTTATTCAATTGCATAGAGTATAAACAAGAATGTACATATAGCATAAAATTCAGGACTTCGTTTGCATAGGTGAGGATGGTAGGAGGGGATTTGCAAACATTCCTGTGGGCAAAGTGTGTGTGTGTGTGTGTGTGTGTGTGTGTGTGCGCACGCGCACTGGAGATGGGCTCATCACTTACCTCGAGTTCACAAAGCTCTGAATTTAAGCCCAGCACCATACAAACTGCATGGTGTTACATGCTGGTAATCCCAGAACTGAGGAGGTGAAGGCAGGAGGGTCAGGAGTTTAGGACCAGCCTCAGCTACATAGGAAGTTCAAGGACAGACCGAGTTAACGGGATCCTATGTCAAAAAGTAACGGGGGTGAGGGATTTGGTATTTTCTTTTCTGGTTTTTCCAGACAGGATTTCTCTGTATTGCTTTGGAGGCTGTCCTAGAACTAGCTCTGTAGACCAGACTGGACTCAAGCTCACAGAGATCCACCTGCCTCTGGCTCCTGAATGCTGAGATTAAAGGCTGCGCCATTACTGCCCAGCTGGAATTTGGTATTTTTCACATCAACAAATACCAAAGGAGACTATAGCCCTGCCTTGTTAAGAACTTACTATGTAGACCAGGCTGCTCTGGAACTCACAGAGATCCACCTGCCTCTGTGTCTCAAGTGCTGGGATTAAAGGCGTGTGGGATAGAGGAGGTCTAACTCAGGTACCCAAGGCTGTCCCTACTGCTTTTGCCTGCTGAGCCATCTTGCTGACTCAGCTCTAGACTTTATATCAATGACAAGCTAGAGAACACACACAGAGACCATGATGTCATCACATGCCTGTAACCCCAGTGCTCAGGAGACAAAGGCAAGAGGGTCCCTGCAAGCTGGGGCTAGCCTGGTCTACATAGGAAATTCAAAACTGGAAATGGCTACTTAATGAGATTGGTTTTTAGGAGTTAAAAAAAAAAAAGAACGAGGAAACCGATTACTTTGTATTCTAAGTTGAAAAATGAGTTTAAAAACACACAGAAAGTAAGACTATAAAAGGCCTTGAGATTAAAGGCTGTGCCGTTACCGCCCAGCTGGAATTTGGTATTTTGGAGGTATTTTGGAGGAGGTGTGTCACTGTGGGGCAGCCTTGAGGTTTCAAAAGACTGGCGCCATTCCCTGTGTGCCTTTTCTTTCTGCTTCCTACTTGCAGTTCAGGATATGAGCTCTCCGCTCTTCTGCCACCATGCCTCGGCTCAGCCATCGTGGACTCTAACTCTGGAAGTGTAAGCTCAGATTAAGCACTTTCTTTCATCAGTGCTGTCTTGTTCGTGGTGTCGTATCACAGCAATAGGAAAGTAATTAAGGCAGTTCCCATCACTGACATGGCAGCTCACAACTGTCTGTGACTCCTCCAGGGGATCCAGTGTCCTCTTCTGGTTTTCATGGCCACTGCATGTACCTATAGACAAGCAGGTACACAAACACAAATTTTAAAAAATATCAGAATGTGGAAAAATCTTTTAAAAAGTGAAACAGGGTTGGAGGGATGGCTCGGCAGTTAGGAGCAACTTCTTTCACAGAACCCAGGTTCGGTTTCCAGCACCCACAAGATGGCTTCCAGCCATCCGTAACTGAAGTTTCCAGAAGATCTGATGCCTTCTAGCGTTCTCTCTGGACACTGTACCCATGTGACCTCCAAGGGTGCAAACAAAGGTTTGATGAGTGAATAAATGACAGATGGAGGGTGTACTGCTACAAGGGTTGGAGTAGCTCAAAATCGTCCAGTTTATCCCCCCTGCCCCATAAGTGGATTATAGCAGAAAAGCCTTCAGGCCAGTGCAGAGATCTGGGCTGCCCTGGGACACCCTTTCAGGATGAATTATTTGAGGAGTGTCTCTATTTTACATCTCAGTGTCCTCTTTCCATCCTCCATTCTCCCTTGTCTGTCTCCACCTGCGTTTTGTCCTCAGTGTGACCCAGAAGAAGCTTCACACCCTGACATCACATCCTTCCTGCTTGCTTGTGAGACAAGGTCTCTTTAACCCCAGGCTGGCCTCAAAGTCCATATATGCCTGAGGATAGCCTTGAACTTCTGATCCTCCTGCCTCCATTCTCTCCAGAGCTGGGATTACAGGCTTGTGCCACTTTGCCTAGTTAATGTAGTGCTGTATGGGACACGGTGCTTCCTGCACAATAGGCAAGTGCTCCCCCCATTACCCCAGAATCCCAGAGTCTTCCCTATTGTGAAGCCAGCAGAGCTGCAGAGGGAGATCACTGCCCAAGATGTCCTGACCTCCCATGTGAAGCAACCCAGCCCTGCACAGTGGATACTCAGATAGATGTCTTCAGACACTGGCTGTGAGTCGGTAGAGGGCGCTGGTCCCACAGACTGGAAAGGAATGGCCCCAGTTCAACAGCTGGTTCAGTTCTTCATCTCCAAGGCAGAGATGTGCTGTAGCCTGAGCTTAGATTCCTACTGACACCTTAACCCCAATTGGGCTGTATTTGGAGTCTGTGAGGATGTTATGAGGAAGAACTTGCAATGGCAGCGCCCAAAGCAGGAGCCATCAAAGTGTTCTCCTGCCATGTGTGGGTCAGCGGTTACATGTGCATATTGTTCTTCCAGGGGACCCAGGTTCTGTTCCCCACACCTACACTGGGCAGCTTACAACCATTTATAACTCCAGCTCCAGGGAGATCCAACACTTCTGGTCTCTGAGGCCACATGCATCCACAGGCACACAGATGTACACACATACACATAATTAAAAAGAAAATCTTTAAAAAATCATCAGGGCTGAGGATGTTGTCTAGCATACATGGAGTCCTGGGTTGGATTCCCAGCACAAAGCACAAAAATATTTAAACCATGCATTAAATTTTAAAAAGTGCCTAGAGGGTGGCGGGTGGGAGGGAGGGAGGAAGGGAAAGAGAGAGAGAGGGAGAGAGAGAGAGAGGAGAGCAAGGGGGAAGTAGGAAGTTTGCTTAATTGTAGAGTCTATTACTGTTTATGAACACAAGAGGGGGTGCTAACCAGTGAGCAGTGAAGGGAAGCAGGTTCCCTAGCAACGGAGAAAAACATTGAGCAGGAAGCTTCTGAGACTCAGATGTGGGATTTCAGCTCTGCACCTGCTTAGGGGCAGGCTCACTCCTGGCACCTGGAGCCTCCTGTTGAGTCTTGAGTGTCCTTGACCTTTTGTGAGAAAGTGGAGTTCTCCTGGATGTGAGGTCAGATATGCAGGGCTGAGGCGCGGAGCCCTTGTTCTGCAGTCTCCCTGACATTTTCTGTGAGACTCCAACCCCCTCCCCCTCCACACCCGATGTTTCCCTCAAAAGCGGAGGGAAATAAGGCATGGAGAGGAGGGAGTTTGCCACGAGCATGCTGAGACTTTCAGGTGTAAAAAATGGAAAGATTTGGGATGCGATGAACATTGTCAGGTTTGTTGATGAAGACTGTTTTAACAGGTAAGTATTAGGTAAATCCTGTGGAGTAGTAATAACAAACACTGGAAGAATCCCTGTGAAGAGGCTGGGGTGGGGCTCCAGGGCTCAGTGTTCTGGTATTGCATGCAGTTCAGACATTGCTACAGTTTGGATCTTGGCTGGTCCTGTGGCACTGTCAGGAGGTTTTGGAACCTTTAAGAGGCGGTGTCTTCTTGGAAAGATATTATGTCACGGGTGCATGTCCTTGAAGGGACTAGATGGACCAGTTGTCCTGTGACAGACTTTTCCTGGGGAAACACGAGACACAACACAACACACACACACACACTCCTACTCTCCCAGAAAGGAAACCTCATGACAGACCCAACTAACATTGTAACATCCAAGGTCCAACATGATAAACTAGTGAGTTTTTATTGGACTTACTAACGGGAGTATGGGTGAGGGGTTACTTACAGGAGCAGATGTGACTCAAAAACAGCTGCAGCACCAAAAAACCCAACAGGGTGATAATGACTCACAAAAGCTGCAACCCTGGAGCTCTCTGCACAGCATGCAGGCAGCTGACAGATCCGAGTTATCTCCTCTCTGCAGCTGGGCTGCTCCGAGTCTCCTCCAACAGCTGCCTGTTCCTTCTGGAAAGCTGGGGAGGGGCCTTACAGAATCTTGCAAGTTTCCACTTTCCCAGAACGAGGCCTTTTTGTTTACCTCTGTGGTCTACAGAGGGCCCCCCACCCTGAAGGGAGAGGTTGGATTCTGAGGAATCTGCTACCCAGCACTAACCATTTCCTGCCTCTCTTTTGCACCATTCTGCTCTGCTCAGCACTCACCGGGAGACTAGCGGCCTCCTTTGTCTGGCTCCAGCTTCAATGTATGTCCTCACCACAAACCCAAATGTCTGAAACCAGGAGCCAGAATGAAGCTTTCATCTTTTTAATTGGATTCTCTGCAGAATTTGTCAAAGAAGCAGAAATCTGGCTAACAAGTGAAGAAATAAATTGAGACTCTGGGCTGGAG